CGGATGGCCGATGAAATAAAGAAATCGGGAATTGGCGGCCATATGAAGCCACATACTACGAGGAATACCGCAAATACGCTGGAGCGACGATAAAAAGAACTGCAGGGCCAATGTGGAAACGTTTTACAAACAACAGAAATGAATAGCGAGAATTAGCGGCAATCCTAATAGAGAGAAGAGGTTAAAAAATACCTGTATCTATTACAAGTGTTTATTTATGTTTAAACTGAATCTGGTTCTCATTTTATCATTTCGTAAATAAGGAATAATGTGTCTAAATATTCTAGTTTTTAATAGTCGAATTATTTTTGGTAACGGTATTAAAAATTTCTATTAGGAAAATCAGGTTCTCATTTTGTTATTTGGTAAATATTAATACCTGTATCTATTACAAGTGTTTATTTATGTTTAAACTGGATCTGGTTCTCATTTTATCATTTCGTAAATAAGGAATAATGTGTCTAAATATTCTAGTTTTTAATAGTCGAATTATTTTTGGTTCTGGTATTAAAAATTTGTATTAGTAAAATCTGGTTCTTATTTTATTATTTGGTAAATATTGATAGCTATATCTATTACAGGTGTTTACTTACGTTTAAACTGCATCTCATGGATATTTATGAATTTTTGTCTGAATTTATTAAAAACATTCTTTTGTGTTAGCTTTTTAAGGTGGTGAATATGAATATAGTAAACAGCCACTCTTGTGGTATATTACTGGTATCACTGTTGCATGTATAGTTCTTCTTCTTCTTTTTCTTTATTTAGACATGACTCTGTCTGTTTTTCAACGTACCTTCAGTAAGTTGTCGTTTCATCGTTTTCGTGGTCTTTCTACTGATCGTCTTCCTATTGGAGAACCGACTTTTGTCGTCTTTACTACTCTATTTGTTGTTATTCGTCTTATACGATCGTTCCTTTCTACTCTTCTATTTCTTACCCAGTTCTTGATGTTCTCCACCTTGCATCTATGTCGTATATTTCTTCTCCAGCTCTGTCCCCTAGTGTCTTACCATCAATTTTTCTTCTGCTGTTTCTAACATCCTTGCTGTCCTTTCTGTGTCAAATCGTGTTTCTGCCGCGTATGTCATTATTGGTCTGATGACTGTTTTGTCAAATAGAAACAATTAGAGAAGACCAAGCAGGGTTCACAGTAGGAAAATCATGCCTAGATCATACGTACGCATTAGAACAACTAATAGAGAAGAAAATGGCAAAAGGTAGACCGGTCTATCTGGCGTTTGTCGATCTACAGAAAGCATACGACTCAATACCTAGAGTCAAATTATGGAAAGCAATGAATGATCTCGGAATCCGACAAACACTAATAAAAGCAGTTAAAGCACTGTACAAAGAAAACAAAGTAGCTATTAAATGTGGAAATAAAGCCTACAATCCATTTAAGACGACAAAAGGACTTCTACAAGGCTGTGCTACGTCCCCTACTCTGTTTAAAATATTCTTGGAAAATACACTCAAACCATGGAGGAGAAAGTGCGAAGGCATGGGCATACCAGTAAGAGACGAAACAACGGAATGGAAATAAACTTAAAGAAAACCGAATACCTAACAACAGAAAACAAGGATATGAGAAACATAGAGATAGACGAGGGAAGACAAGTAAATGGAACAGATAAATTCAAGTATTTAGGAACTATAATATCGAACCAGGGAACAACAGAAGAAGATATAAACAACAGACTAAGACAAACAAGAAACTGTATAAGACAACTAAATTCAGTGCTGTGGGATAAGAACATTACGATAAAGACAAAAAAGAGAATATATAATACCCTGACAAGAAGTATCCTGACATATGGGTCCGAAAACTGGACAATAAACAAGAGAAATAGAGGTAGAATAAGAGCAGTAGAAATGGAGTTCCTGAGGAGAAGCTGTAGACTTACAAAAAGAGACAGAATTGAAAACGCAGAGATTAAGGGGAGAATGGAGTGCAATCAGACATAATCGACTATATAGAGGAGAAGAGACTATCTTGGTACGGCCACGTCAGAAGAGCGAACAGAGGACGCTGGATAAACAAAATCACAGAATGGAGCCCGATCGGAAGAAGAAAGAGAGGAAGACCCTGAAGGTCATTCAGAGACGAAATCGACGAGGCTATGGAGAAAAGAACCCTGCGAGATGGAGATTGGAATGATAGGGAAAATTGGAAAAAAACGGTTGAGTGAAGGAAGTCAATGAAAACTGTGGAAATCCTTAGTAGTAGTACTAGTAGTAGTAGTAGTATGACTGTTTTGTAAATTCTGCCTTTCATTTCTTTTCCGATCTGTTTATTTCTCCATATTGTTTCATTCATTCAACGTGTGACTCTGTATGTTCTATTCACTTGATCTTCCACTTCAGTTTCGAGGTTTTCGTAGCTAGATCATGTAATGACTAGATATTTAAACTCCATCACTTGTTCTATTATCTGACCTTCCAGCTCCAATTTACATCTTAGTAAATTTGCTGTGATAACCATGCCTACTGTTTAGGGAAACTAACATAATAAATTTTCTGGCAGTTATATTAAATTGGTGCAGGTTTCTTTATCAACCATTTCTATTCACTCCTGAATGTAGGTCTCTCCCAATTGCTTTCATATTTCTCTATCTTGCGCTATCTACCCATCTTTTTTGAGGTCTTCTCATGCTTCTTGTTGTCGTCGTTGGTCTCCATTCTAGAATTTTCCGTGTCCATCTGTTGTCATTATATCGGGCTACGTGACCTGCCCAGCGCCATTTCGTTTTTGTAATTTCTTCCACAATATCCCTTATCTTCATTCTACGTCTTATCTCGGTGTTTCTAATCTTGTCTCTCTGATATTCCAAGCATGATTCGTTCCATTGCTCTTTGCGTTGTTTCTAATTTTTTAGCAGATTTTTGGTAAGGGCTACTGTCTCTAAGCCGTAGGTACAAACTGGTAGTATGTATGTGTTATAGACCGTTTTCTTCAAGTTTACAGGAATGGAGGTGTTTTTGAAGATATATGCTAGTTTGCCAAAAGCGCCCCATACCAGTTGTGTTCTTCTTTTAATTTCAGCATCTTTATTTGGTTTTCCTAGTTTGATGACATGACCTAGATATACATAATGTTTAACATTTTCTATGGTCTGATTTTGTATTGTTATATTTGTCTGGTCTCGGCTCAATATTTTTGTTATACTTGTAGTTCATTTTTAAACCTACCGCTCCTGAAATTGCATTTATTTATATATCATTTAAACTTTGATCAAATGAAAGGCAGATATCGAGTACTTTCGCTTCCTAGAGCATCTTCAGGGGCATTTCGTCAATTTTGGCCTATCCAACAATCACGGAATGTCATAAACATCAAATTGTACATAACACTACACTACACTACACAAGGACAAACAGTTTAAAATTATTTAAAATAGACAAATCTACATTATGGTCGGCACAGTAGAGAGAAATTTAGATTTCTGAATTTTTTCTCTCCTCTTGCCGACAATTCTATGATCGTCCCTAATTTCTTTCTTCGCGTTTTTGTTTAAAACTTTTGAAGCTGTACGAAGTTTGATCTGCTTTGTTTCGTCTTTCTTGGAGTAATTTAATTGTATTACGTTGGAGTTTAGTTGTTTTGGCTGATTTTTCGTGTTTGAGAATATTTTCTTAAACGATGTTGTTACAGTTACTTTTATTTTATTGGCTAGTCCGTTTATATCCATTTGTTTCAGTGTCTCTATTGATTTTAGTCTTATGCTTCGCTCTTTTTGGTATTCCGTTTGTTTTTGAAATAGGGCATCGGTGGTTGGGTATCGTTTTAGGTTTGTTTCGTTCTACTCTCATTGTATTTTAATATTCGCTCTAACCAATCTATGGTCACTCCCTGTATAGAATTTGTTTAGTACTGTCACGTCGGCGCATATATTTTTGTTATTGAATAGTATGTAGTCTATTTCGTTCTTAATTTTCTTGTCTGGGCTAATCCATGTCCATTTACGTTGTTTAGATTTTTTAAAGAAAGTATTGAGACAAAATAAATTTCGTTATTTAAGTAGTTGTACAACATCTCATCCCTTTCGTTCCTATTGTGCAGCCCAAGGCGACAGATATGTTCCCATTTTTGCATTAAAATCTCCGGTGAATATTACGAAGTGGGATTTTTCTTGGTTCCTTGCTGTTGCCAGATCCTCGTAAAATGATTCAGCTTCCTCATCTGTAGAGTCTCCTGTCGGTGTATATCCATGTATTATCTGTAAGCTGTATCTGCTGTGCTGTTCAAAAGCGATGACAAGATATATGACTCTAAAAAAATTGTTTAAAATCCTTTATAAAAGGTATATAAAATTGCCCCAAACGGGCTATCACAAACACTTTGCAAAACGTTTTTGGATTAATCAATCCATCATCAGTGCAAACGGTTGTACATGCTAGTAGCCACCAAAGTATATGGGTCAAAACCCTTTAAACGATTTAAATTTGTAGTTGTTTTACATTATTAGTACTTATAATTTGTGATGTTAAGTTACCGTTGGATAGGTAACATGGCGGCGTATGACTCTACATGAGTAAAATGGTCCTGAGACGAAGTGTCTACGAGGACCTGTTGATAACAACTCAGACTATGAGTTTTATAGGTTCTTGACTTTCAATAGGTCTATAGAGATTTCTATTATCTGCAAATGATTATGCAGGGAAAGATCCAAGGAAAGAGAAGCATAGAGAGGCGTAGAATGTCATGGCTGCGCAACCTGAGAGAGTGGTACGGATATACATCAAATGAACTTTTTAGAGCAGCTGTCTCAAAATTCCGAATAGCCATGATGATTGCCGACCCTCCGCCGCGAAGATGACACTTGAATAAGAAGATAGAGATTTCGTCGTGTCCACTTGCTTTTCCATTCTAAGCATTTTCTAGTCTGTTTTTATTTATTTCTTCTTTTAATATATTTGGCCCAGATTCACTCTTTATTTGAAAAATGTTCTTTCTATCACTGCTTTTATCTTTGTACTAATACATTAATTAACGTTTCATGGTTTTGCTTAGATTGTTTATTCCATCTTGTATGTTGTTCTCCGTGATACATAATTGCATTAAACAATAAACTATTCTATAAATATAGATTAAAAATGTAAACGATATTTTTAGCTGACTGCCGAAGACATTGCTTAAATGGAGGAAAATGTTTAAAGCGGGAGACTAAAGACACATGCAGTTGTCCAAAGGGTTTTGAAGGACAACAATGTGAATTCGATATTACCAAACGTAAGTTCTGTATTATAAATATACTGAATATCAATATATATTATTTATCTTTTAAATTTTGTAGCTTACTGTTCAAAAGGCTGTGAAAATGGTGGAAGCTGTACAAAACACGAATTATGCACGTGTCCGAAAGGATTCGCAGGTAGACGCTGCGAAATAGACATCGATGAATGCAAAGAACAGAAACCCTGTGATCAAATATGCTACAACACTCTAGGAAGTTTTACTTGCCAGTGCAAAGAAGACTTTGTGCTCCAAAAAGACGGACAAACTTGTAGGAAAGAAGGTATGCATGTTAAAATGTTATTATTGACTATTTAAATTCTATAGTACCTCTATATTATATGTCAATACCACATCAAATTTCTAGCTTTCTTTTAGCATTGTATTGAAATTACTTTTTAAGAAAAATGAATTATGATAACATTTAAAATCCGTTTCATTCGGTCATAGTTTTCATAAAAAAAAAATTGACATTTCTTATATTATTCATACATCTTGACTGCGCCATGTGTATAATCTTCGTAGATAATGTTGATAGAACGTGTTTGTAATTGTAAGATGTTGTCTTTCACAGAACTCTACTAGTTCGGTCGCCATTCTTATTTCTCTGTCCCAGTCCATTTTTGTCCAGCACGTCTTTAATATTTTCATTAGATTTTGTCCCCTACTTTGGCATTAAAGTCTCCTAAACCTACGATTAGTTCACGATTTGGAATAAATTTCTTTTAGACGACCATAGAACCTATTTCGGTTACTTGACCTTAAATATATATGTTTAGTATTGTTTTCATTGATCAGAGAGCCCCATCTGCTCTGATTTCTTCTCGAACCCGATAAAAGTGTTACCTTTATCCTTAATCTGGTGTTTCCTATTAGGTCAATATCGTTTGCTAATTACAATAGAAATTTTGGTCCTTCTCGATGAACTAAAATTGGTTGTTTAGTTCATGCACTTCTGATTATGTATTCTAGAGCTATGTTAAATTGTTGTTGTGAGAGTGCATCTCCCTGTTTTAGTCCATTATTGGCTATTACCATGGCGAAACTGTCTCTATCTCGAGCTATTCTAAAGAGTTGCTCAGCTTTCTTTATACCTGTCCACTCTCTGATATTCTTCAACCAAGAGGCCTGCTTTCTACCAATTCCTCTGCGTCCTTCGATTTTACCCATCATAATAAGTTGAAAAGAATATTATATCGGTCTCCCCTTACTACGTGTCCAAAATAGGCCATCTTTCTACATTTGATGTTATCAAGCAGCTTGCGAGCAGCATTTGCTCTCTCAAGGACTGCCACATTTGTCAGCATAGCCGTCCATGAAATTTTTAGTATATGTCTGTGCAGCTACATTTCAAACGCCTCCAGACGATTAATGGTGGATATTTTTAATGTCCATGCTTCGAAACCGTATAAGAGGATTGACCAAATGTAGCATTTAACCATACGCTTTCGAAGTTGAAGTTTCAAGTTATCATTACAGAAGAATGACCTCATTTTTAAAAATGTCGTGCGGGCTATCTCGAGTCTACATTTTATCTCTTGATCTGGATCTAGTTGTTCAGTAATATGGCAACCAAGATATTTAAAACTGGACACTCTTTGAATTATATGACCATCAACATATAATCGTGCATCTTGATGTGCTAAACGCTAAACACCATGTGTTTTGTTTTTGAACAGTTTATGTTTAGGCCAAACTCTCTTCCCACTGTATCAATGGCATTTAAAAGGCATTGTAATCCATTCATGTCATCACTTAAAATAACTGTATCGTCTGCATATCTGATTGTATTTATCAGAATTCCATTAACTTTCACGCCCCATTCCAGATTATGCAGCGCTTCTTTAAATATTCTATCTGAATATAAATTAAATAACAGTGGGGATAGTATACAACCCTGTCTGACACCTCTTCGTATTTTACATATTTCTGTTGATTTTCCGTTTATGCAAGCTGGCGCTGTTTGACGCCAGTATAACTTGTCTATGAATCGTATGTCTTGACTATCAACTTCTTTATCTTTTAATATTGTAATTAATTTGTGATGCTGTACTCGATCAAAGGCCTTTTCATAGTCAATAAATACAGCAAAGACGTCTTTCCTTTGATCTCGACATTTCTGCAGTAATACATTTAGTACAAAGAGGGCGTCCCGAGTTCCCAGTCCATTTCTGAAGCCAAATTGTGTTTTATCCTGATGTTCTTCACATTTATCTCTGATTATACTGTGGATGGTTCGTAGAAATATTTTCAAAGTGTGGCTCATAAGGCTTATCATTCTATAATCGCTACAGTTTTTCGGACGTTGTTTTTTTTGGTAGTGTTATGAATTCGGACTTTAACCAATCTTCAGGGATATCACCAGTCGAATAAACAACATTGAAAAGTTTGACCAGTATTCCAATGTTCTCCTCATTTATAAGCTTTAACATCTCTGTCGGTATGTTATCACAGCCAACGGCTTTCTTGTTCTTTGCTAACTTTATAGCATGCAGTATTTCTGATTTTAGTATTTCTGGTCCTTCACCTTCAACTAAAGTCTCCGGTTCTTCGGGTCTATCATCATTATACAGTTCACTTATATAATTACACCAGGTTGTTCGAATTTCATGTTCTTCTATTATCATTTTTCCCGACGAATCGGTTATAGTATGTGGAGTTTTCTTATGATAAAGACCAGCTACTTTTTTAACTTTTTTAAACATATTAAACGTATAAAGTTTTTCATTCAAATTTTCTAATTCCTTGCATTTGTCTTTTATCCATTTTTCTTTAGCCACCTTTATTTTTTGTTTAATTAGTTTCTGTTTTTTCTTATATTCTGTCTTGTTACCTTTAAGTTTCCTTCTCTGCTTCATTAATTCCAGGATATCATCAGTCATCCATTGTTGTTTTTTGTGAATGTGTAACGTTGTTGAATATTTTTCTATTACTTTCAAGGTAAGATCTTTAAATGTGTTCCATATTGCTGTGTTCTTTTCATTTATTGATTTCTTTAGTTCATTGTTTAAGTCATTTTCTATTAACGTTTTGTTGGATATTAAGATATTTAATTTTGGTGTTTTGGGGCTTTCTTGGACTTTTTTGAGCTTCACTTTGATGCGTTTCCATGCTCATTCGTCAAATTGACTATTGTAAAGCTAATTTCTTGCATCGCTGTCAAATATCTTACCCTGTATACTCTATCATACCCGTGTTAAAACCTATAAACATCCGATGAAGCTCACGACCAAACTATCCATCTGTTATCTGTCATTCGAGTTACGTGACCTGCCCAGTTCCACTTTAGTCTTGCAATTCTCTATACAGCATCTGTAATGGCGATTTGGGCCAGTTTCATCGACCTTTGAGCCACACATCTTTTTCACTGTCCTCCTTATAAAAAGAGTGGTCGGAACAAATTGGAGGTATGTGTCCAAAATGGATGACAGGAGGGTAAGAAGAAGTTTTATAGTTTTATAGTGAATATCTGGTCAATAGTGGATAGACCCTATCTAAAGCCGCATTCAAAATATCCCCAATGATTTCTTCTGTGTATGTTTTGGTTTTTTCTAGCAGGATTTTGTAGTTTTAAGTCAGTTTTAACATATGGCTTTTTGTTTTTTTTTTGTGGATAGCTATAGTAACTTATTTTCATTCATCTGGCATTCTTTGTGGCATGCTTTCAATTAGGTTGTGTGCAGTACTTTTCCCTCGTGTTTTGATACTCTGCGGAATTACCATCGCTGCCTGGTGCCTTATTATTTAAGGTTTTTATTGACTGGGTTACTTCTTCACATTTTGGAGATTGATCTTCTATTTCAGTTGTATGTACCTCTATGTTTAATGTACTTTCGTTACATTTAATAGTTGACCAAAGTATTCCATCCACGTCTTTATATTTGTCATTACTAATAAGCTTTCCGCTGTCTTTCTGAAGGAAGTTTCTTTTCCTGTTTGGTACCGGATTTGATCGCTGAAACTGCTTTCTATAATTATCTTAAATTATCGTTTTTGTAATTTCTTTCTATATTCCTGATTATTTGCTCCTGGTACTCCTTTTTTTCTTTTTATTAGTTGCCTAGTCTCTGTTCTTGTCTGTTTATAACTTTAAGTGTTGTTATCTGACGGATTTTGGTGCATGTCTCTTCTAGCGATGTTTCTTTTTCTATGGATTTCAACCACTCATTGCCGAACCAAATTTTATCTAAAACGCTTGTCAAAAGTTAGTTTTATATTCTCCCAGGCAAAGTCAATGTTGATATATCCCGCTATATATAGCGTTTTGAAATTTTCTTCTAATTATCCTACAGAACTTCGGTATTCCATACTGTTGTTGGCATATTCCTGTAAATTTTTTGGGATGCTATTCTTGATTCTTATTTCCATGTTCGTTATATCAGATAATGATCCGTGTCTCCATCCGCCCTTGCTAGTAGCTGAAGCTGATAAAAATCATTAGTTTTAACGGAGCTCAAACCAAATATGAGAATTCGTCAAAACGTCTGTATCTAAAAACGTAATATTTTTATAATTTATCAATAAAACAAACTAAACGGTAAACATTGATTATTAATCCAATTCTTTTTTACGTTTCTTTTAGATGATAATGATGGAGGCATAGAAGCAAAAGACTTAGAATTCGAAATGTGGATAAGCGATTATTGAAGCTAGAAACGGTAATAGTATCTGTTTTAGATTCAATCCTAATATTTTATTTAAACCATTATCGATTAATTTAATTAATATTTCTTAATTTTCAGATGATGGGCGAAAGCCACAAAATGATGTCTCTAAAAACGATCTCCAGAATGTGTACAAGGACATGGATTCGATTTCTCAAGATATTAATACCCTTAAAAATAAAATAAATGATGTGGTAATATGCAATATATTTACATTTTAATAATATGCTATAAACTATACTTATCTTTCTATTCATTTTTGGAGTATCACATTTTGGCTCTACATCCCTGAGTGGGTACTGTTGCCGAGAGGGGACATTTGGGCCTGTGGGACACATCGCCGGCACTTCAGACTTCTTCCTGTCTCCGGAATTTGATCGGGTGTTGACCATCTTTGTCTGTCGCTATCAAAAGGGTTAATAATTGCTACTGGATAAAGTAACAGTTACCGTGACAAGTATCGGTTATAGGGAACAGTTCCAAGAACGGTTACGAAATAACGGATCAAAGATAGAAAACAGAACAGGTACAATAATCTAAGTATATCTTGACTTACGGAAGGAATAGCTTAGTAAATCAAATAAATCGAACGGTATATAAAAATATAATACAAGATAAATGCTCCTAAGTGTTTCTTGACTTACGGAAGAAACAACTTAAGACAGAAATATAAAAGAAAGTGAAA